ACCTAATGGCACCATATGGGGGGCCTTGGTGAGACGACTAAACTTAGATATGGTCATGAGGGTGGAGGTGGGAGAACTGTCCTTTCTGAGACAGGGTTTTATCACGTAGTTCAGGCTGGCCTTGAGCTCACTCTGTAGGCCAGGCTGGCCTCAAATTTAAAGTGATCCTCCTGCCTCAGCCTCCCAGGTCCTGGGATTACAGGTGTGTGCCACCATGCCTAGATGGGATCAGTGTCTTTAGAAGAAGAGAAAGAGACTGGTGCTTGGTCCCTCTGCCATGTGAGGACACAGACAGAAGACTGCCACCAACCATGGTGTACACCGAATCTGCCAAGGCCTTGACTGTAGGGTTTGTGGTCCCATGAGTACAAGAAACACATTTCTCTTGCTGAAGCCACCTCTTCTCCAGGCTCTTGTCACAGCTGCTCAAAGGGACTATGGTGACTGGTGTGTGTCCCAGCCTGGTGTTTGCTCCCAAATGCCACATGACAATGTTTTTCAGTCCGCAGGCAGCATACATCAGACCCTGACCTGGCAACAGGTCCTGGGGGGGGGGGGGCTCAGTGTGCAGCGGTGGGGGTGTGACTGGAGGGAACAGCTACAAGAGAGACAGGCTCTTGGGCGATCTTTCCTGAGTCGCAAAAGGCCAGGGCTTTGTGGGTCACTGTGTTTAGCCTGCCCGTTATTCCAATGGGAAACTCAAAGCCCAGAGAGGTAAAGCAGCTGCCTGAAGGTCACACAGCTGGCCTGTCCTCTCACCAGGCAAAGGAGCAGAGCACCCTCCTCCCCAAGCGCTCCCACACCTCAGCCAGTCTCTGACCTTCTGCAGGACGGAGTGGAGATGGTCCTTCCTCCTCCTCAGACTCCTGGAAGATGAGAGGAGCCTAGAGCTTCTAGAAGCTTCTCTGCACAGGGAGGCGCCCAGCACCTCCTCTCCCCAGGCTTCCAGTCCATCCCATGCTGATGCTGCTCGGGGACGCCAGCCGGGCAGTGGGAGAGGAGTTAGAAGCCCAGGTGGAGGAGGAGGCCGGGGAAGGACCCAAACCCAATTGTGGAATCCTTTCTGACCCACTTTTGGGTTCTCACATGCCCACGCTTCCCAGTGAACATCTGTGCTGTGTGTCCCCACACTTGCGCTGGGTTAGGTGCGTGGGGAAGGAGCAGGGTCACAGGGAGCCCCTGTGGGGCCCACACTTGTTTCTGCCACTGCTAGGAACATGAGAATCACATGGGAGCTGCAGGCAGGGGTACCCTGAGCCAACCTGGGGTCACCAGGAAGTCAGCCATGCTCAGATCCTCGGCAACGATGGAATCAGTGAACAGGCAGAGCTGCCCTTGGCTGGGAGATGGAGGGAAGGCGTGGGCCAGCCCAGAACCAGCCGCCATCTGCTGCTTTCCACCAGAGAGAATGCCGCCTACGCGAGATGCCCTCCAGGCCTGGACAACATGCCCCATGCTTGAGCCTTTGGGTCTGTCTTCTGGCAGGAAACGGGAGCTGAGCCGGGTCAGAGCCTGAACCCAGGCCTGAGCTATCCCAGCACCCACACCCTTAGTTCTTCTTGGATAGCACTTGACTTTGGGGTGTTCCTTGGCCATGGGTGGAGGCAGGAGCAGGCAGGTGTAGCCAGTTCTCCAGCACAGGCCCTCCCTTCTACATCACTGAGGGTCCTGAAAACCAAACCCAGTTTGGTGATATGGATGCAAACCCTGTTCTACCAACTCCTATGCTTTTGACCCTTGGTAAGTTACTTCATTCCTGTATGCCTCAGTTTCTTTGACCATAAAATGGGGAAACTTCAGAGAAACAATCACACAGGCTGTTGAGTACAAAGCACCCATGGCAGGGACTGGGAATGGGCATGCCTGCACCTTAGCCGTGGGCCTCCAGGGGCCAAGAGCAGTGATGGACACCCACAAGTGGAATAAAATGTAGTGAGAAGTGCAAAGCAGGGACGAACCTAGACAAATGAGAACAGTCAGGTCCTTGCGGCCATGTTCTGGGGAGCCTGCCCTGAAGACGCTGTGCAGGCACCACCTCCACTCCAGCGTCCCCTCTGAGGCCCTTCATGCTCCCTTCTGAGGTACTGGGCCGCACCCCATTCTATAGGGAATGAATTAGGAGGAAGGAGCAGAGGGGGACAGGAGCTGGGTGTGGCAGCGCATGCCTGTGACCGTGGCACTCTGGGAGGTCACGGCCAGAAGACTGTGAGGTCAAGTCTCACCTGGGCACTTTAGTGATTTAGCAAGACCTGTCTCAAAAGAAATCATTTTTTAAATGGGCTATGGCTGGATCTCAGTGGGAAGGGCATCCAATCACTAGTAGTTCTTGAAAGAGAAGAAGAGAAAAAGGAAGAGGAAGAGGAAGAGGAAGGAAAGAAGGAAGGAAGGAAAACCAAAGTCTAGGGCTGCACAGGGCAGGGCACAGCTAGATCTGTGAGTCACCAAATCAGGCACAGCGCATGGCCCATCTCCTAGCCAGAGCTACCCTCCTCCCTGGTGGCTGAGTGCGGGCTTCGCAAGGACCCCCAGTATGTGCAGCCCGCACACCCGCTGGAGGTGAGGATTACTCCGAGGCTAAATCCTGCCTCCCAGATAATCCCCAAGCTTGGTGCTAAACTAAGCTGCCTGGGCAGGCTCCCTGGCTTTGGTGCCCTCCCTCACCTGCCCCCAGCCCCTGCACACAAGTCCTGCCATGTCTCTCTGTCCCATCACTTTCACTTAAGATGACACTCTAGAGTCTATCACAAGGATCCCCCAAGAGTGTCCCACTCCTCTTGTTCCTGTCTGGGCAAACTGGGGGCCTGTGTCATCTTATGACTAAACCAAGAACAAGGCTTTAGCTCAGCCCTGCAGCCCCCAAGTGGTTCACAAGAAACCTCTCTCTCCAATGAGGACCCAAGCTTCTGTGTTCTCGAAGAGCTGGCCCATGGAGTGTGCACAAAGATGGATGCTACTGTGTCCAGTGGAGGGCCTGCTGCACTACAGTGGGAAGTACAGCCTCTGCAAGAAGAGGAGGGAAGGGACTAGTGTTGGCAGAGCCCCTGTATACGGCGTGTGCACTGCACAACTCCAGGGGGCCCCATGGTGGCTCCGCTAGAGTTATGCAATGCTGTGGCTCTGAGCTTGCAGCCTTCTTCTTGCTTTTTTGCAAAAGCTGCCAAAAGATTCCCATGGCCAGGCCTTGCTGCCCAGCCTTCTTTGTCCTACTTCTCTCCCTGACCCTGTCTTCTGGCAGCCGAGCTGCCTTAGAAGGGGATTTTAATAGGAATCTGTCTACCACAGCCCGAGCCCCTCCTCCATCAACAGATACCCTAAAGCCCTTTTTTTTGGGGGGGGCAGGTCCTGCAGAATTTCAAATCTGGGGCCTTCCTTCTAATGAGCATGCAGGAAGGGGAAAGTGACTGGCACCAATCCAGGGAGACAGGTGGGCAGTCCTCTGCCGGGGTCAAGCAGTCATTCAGTTATTATTCTCACCCGCAGGGCTGGCTACTGGAAGCAGGTGGAGGAAGGGAGGTAGAAGGATCTTATTTTTAAACCTCCACTGTTCTGATGAAGCATTTCTTTTCCTTCTGACCTTCACCAGTCCCATTTCCGCGGATCAAACAGCCAACCAGTCCGGGGGAGGCCTGAACGGGTGACACATGGAATCTGGACTGGCAGCCGGCTCCACCCCTCACTGCCCGGCCCGAGGGCTTCTGCCCAGGCAGCCAGGAGACTGCGGCGGCTGAGGCTGGGCCTGCAGGTGTCAAGGATGGGCTCCCTTTCCCGGGCTGGGCCAGTGTTGGGTGGTGGAGCCAAGGCGGAGGCTCATGGCCCACTCCGGGGTCCAGGTCCGGCTGCTGCCATGGGGACTCATATCTCTGCCTCTGCATCGTGTGGCAAGGCATCACAGGGAGCACAGGTTTTTGGAAGAAATGGCTAAGGAACTTGCAGATGCAAGCAGCGGACAGAGGAGGACAAAGGTGGCACGGTGGCCCATTTTGCCTGGGGGTGGGGTGTCCCAGGAACAGTCTGAGGCCCAAGAACGCAGGTCCTAAACGAGGCTTTCTGGGATTGCCAGAATGAGCTGCGTCTTCCTCATGGTGGGACTCAGCCCTACCGGCACCCCAGTCTCCTGGGGCCCTGCCACGCCCTCGCGAGCTCAGCCGGCCATCCACCTCCCAGGCCTTAGGGAGCCGCCTCCGATTTCCCCTCTGAGCTACAGGTGCCGGTAAACAAAGTGCTGCAGAGACGCCAGACGCCCGCAGCCGCCTCCCCGCCCCCACCCCGCAAAGTTCGGGCCAAGGTTAAGCCCGGGTTGGGGAGCGCGCAGCCCTCAACCCCCTACCCTCAACTTCTGGGCTTTCCCAGTGCTTTCCAAGCCCACCGAGCTGTCGACCGGCCCCTCCCTCCGGCTGCAAGTTCTCCCTTTGCGGTGGTACAGCCTCCCTCCCAGGGTTGGTCCCCAAACCCAGCTCTTCCGCACGTGGACCCCAGACCTGGTTCTGGAGGACACGGCCCTCCTGCCCTCCACTGTTCTGCACTATGAACACTCCTTCCATCACTCTGCCTCGGAGAGTTTGCAGGCCCCCAACCCAAAGCCCTGGCGCATTATCCCCTCTCTGAGGCCTCTTCCCCCAAAACCACAGTGGGGACCCAGGGCACCACACAGACGGCGGCCCCACCCAGACCTGCGCCTTCCGCAGTGCCCCGTATGTGCCGCCTGCGGCGGAACCGTCTGGGGACAGGCCGGAGTCGGCTGGCGAGAAGAGGGGCAGCCAGGCCCGCTGCTTGGCATCCTGCACCCCATCTGCGCGCCGGCCGAGCGCCCCCTCCCCGGCGTCCTCTCGCCTAGGACTCCAGGGGAAGCAACGGGACTGGGGGGTCCCTTGGCCCCGGCCGCGGGGACATGGGAAAGGGCGCAACACGGACTCGGTGTTGTTTACTCAGCCGACCCGGGCGCTGGGGTCCCCGCCGCGCCGCTCGCACCCACACCGCGCCGCCAGCCCGCGCGCACTCACGTCTCGGAAGCGGTTCCAGTGCTTGATCTTGCCGCTGTACTGCGAGATGGACGACAGCCATTGCTCGTCCTCCATGAAATTGCCGGGGGTCTCGCCCTCCTTGAGCCCTCTGGCGTCGCCTTCGGCCCGGACGGCCGCGGCCAGCAGCAACAGCGGCAGTGCCAGGCGCCCGCAGCCCGGGGAGCCCATCGTGGTCGGGGTCGGCTGTAACGGTCTGGACTTCTGCAGGACGTAACGAGCTCTGGCCACTCGGCTGCTGGCCGAGCGAGCGAGCGAGCGAGCGAGCGCTGCCGCGGTCCCCGCCCGCCTCCTCCTGCGCTCCGCTCGGGTGACTGGCGGTGGGGGGTCGCGGCTGAAATGTGACCTGGTTAGGAGATGCACTCGTCTGCAAATGCTCCGCGCCAGCCGCGGAGAGGCAGAGGGAATCAGAGAGGCTGCGCCAGCAGGGGCTGTATCTGTAACTGTAGCATCGGCATCACGTTTGACATCATCATACCTGGTTGGGGAAAAAAAAAAGGAGGAGGAGATTTCAAAGCCGAGCCCTGGCTGAGAGCGCGCGTCGCCAGTCAGCCGCAGCGCAGCCCCTGAGAGCTGCAGACCGAGAAGGCAGGATCCTGAGCTGTCCCTGCCACCTCTCCTGGAGGGTGGAGAGCAAGAAGTCCAGGCCGGGTGTCCCTGGGGTAGATGGGATGGGAAAAAGAGGAAAACGCTCGGGTTACAACGCTGGCAAGCTCAGGTGTCTAGAAGGTTATGCGGCTAGGGACGGTCTTTTTCTCTCCTGCCTCCCACCCTGGGGACCTGCGCCACAGCCCTGACAGCTGGCTCCCTACGAGTTATGGCTCTGCCATCATGGGTGGCTTCCTTAAGACAAAAGCCGTGTAGCAACCGGCGACTTCCGAACTATTGCTCCCAGCCGCAGCCGCATGCTCTTTTCTGGGCAAGTCCTGGGTCCCAAATGGCTCATAAAACAGGGGCAGATGTCGTCTTCCCCAAGCAGCTGTTTAGGGGCTGTCACCCCTTTTGTTAGCTCTTTCTAAGGCAACCCTAAAAGGCCAGTTTCTGGTCATTTATCTGCCTTGAGGCTACAACTCTGGAAAAGGCACATTTGCTCAGGCTGGACCTCACTTTGGTTTCCGTAAGACACGGGGGATGGGGTGAGGTAGGAGGGGACCAGTTTTGTTGGAGGGGTTTAGGTCTTTGTTGAATCTGTGACCCTTTCATTGCCTGAGGAGATGATGACATCCTAGTTGGGTAGGCTGGAGGCTGGGCACAGTGACAGGATCACAGCTGAAATGGTGAGGTTTACATTACAAATAAATTGAAGAGGAAACAGATAACCTGACAGGACAAAACCTATTGAACTTTTGGGACTCAAGCCCCAGATTGTGTTTTTATAAAAGACTTGGCTGCTGGCTGTGATCTAAAAAAAAAAAAAAAGCAATGAAAAATGTGATCTTAATCAGTAGGAAAAATAAAATAGGTTACAAGGTTCCCAGGCACAGAACCTGGCCTGCTGAGAACTTTAATGCCTCAGTGGCCTTGGGTGGGGTCTCCCTGGGAAAACAGAAAACAATAGCTCCCTTCCCTTATTTTCTTGTGACCTTTTCAGGTGGATTTAGTGGCGGTGGCTTAGGCGCTGGTATCCCCACCCCACAGTGGCTGAGGCAGCTCTCCAGGGCAGCACTGAGCTCTGAGGCAGAACAGCACAGCTAGCAGTGTAGGTTGGGGTGAGGTGGGCGAGTCCTGTTTTCTATCAACATATTAATGGTAATACTACCTACCTCCTAAGACTGCCAGGAACTTTAGCAGCATTAATACTAAGTGCCTGGGCATAGAGAGCATTAAAAAAAAAAAAAAAAAGTTACTTCTCTCAGGTTGGAAAGAGAAGGTATAATGTCCCATAGGGCTAAAGAGTTACCAAAATGTACCACCTCCTCCCACTGTCTCAATCCTGGTTTTTAGCAAACATATCTCAAAAGATGGAGGAGATAGAGTTCAAATGGCATTCCTTCCTGGTTCTGCTGTTATCTTAGAGAGTCCCTGGTTGGCTAGGGTTCCAAAGATGCCCAAGGAAGAGTTTGAAAAAGCACTGATGAGACATGCACCAGAAAGCGCAGCCACGTGCAGGCCTATGATGCTGAGAGCATTGCCCATGGCCTGCAGCTCCTCCAAGACCAGCCTCCGGCAGCACCTTCGAGCTGGGTCAATATTGGCCCTGTGCAGAAAGCAAATCACCATGGCCCGAGCTTGTTAGCTAAGCCAGAGGTGAAGCTGTTCAGACAGAAGAAACCAAATTTCCAGAAGACAGGTGCAAGGGTTGTAGAAAATGACTGATAATTTCAGCCTGTAAGAAGAAAGAAAAGGTTTTCTTAATATTTGACTAGCAAGTCAGTCTTTACAGACCAGTGGTCCCAAGCCCAAGACACTGCTGGATGTGTTTGTTAAATGGCACATATATTTATGCATTCTTGTTAGCATTTAATTTTCATTGTTTTTTTTGTTTTTGTTTGTTTGTTGTTTGTTTTGGCGGAACCAGGGATTGAACTCAGGCCCTTATGCTTGCCAGACAAGTGCAGCATTTAATATTGAGCAGTACAAAGTGAAGAAGAAGCTGGGGAGATGGCTCAGTAGAATAAGCGCTTCCCTGGCAAGCACAAGGGCCTGAGTTCAATCCCTGGTTCTGAAAATCAAACAAACAACAAACAAAGTGAAGAAGAATTTTAGTTTGTAATAAGAGATCTAAATTTAACTGCATCCAGAAAACTATTTAATCCCATGCCTGGATGACCCCACAAAAACAGAAGGATAAATGCAGAGACATTCAGTCCAGATTTGCTCATAATATCAACCCTTGAACCAACTCCATGCCCATCAGTCAGGAAACTATCCTTAAGAGTGAGTCTGGGAGATAGCTCCGTGGCATAAGCACCTGTCTGGCAAATGCAAGGTCCTGAGTTTGATCCCTGGTACCACAAAAAAAAAAAAAAAGTGCGTCTGCAAGTCAAGTTTGGTAATGTACAGATAGCGGGGAGGCTGAAGCAGGAGGATCTCAAGTCTGAGGCTGCTTACAAGCCCTGCCTTGAAATAGAAAGGGCTGAGGATGTATCCCAGTGGTAGGTACAGCATGTCTAGTATGGTTCTGTGTGTGCATGTTCGTGTGCAAATGTGTGCACACAGGATGATTGTGCATGTAAAAAAAGAAAAGTGGTACAGATCTCCATCTGCTGATGATTCGTGTGGTCCACTACATAATCCTGGATGAACGATTCCATGGTAGAACACTATCCCTAGGTTCAGGCTCCAGCACACAGGAAATAAAAAGATCACTGTGCCAATTCATGAGCTAATCAATTTTTAAAGAGGAAGAGTTTATTTTGGCTCATAGTTTCTGGGGCTTCAGCTCATGATTGCATAGGTCTGCTGCTTTGGGCCAGTGGAGACACCATATGTGAGTAACCCCCAGTTTGTTTCTGTGAGTTAGACATACATTCATAGTTACCATACTCTAACCATAAAACAGAGAGCCCGGATGATCCTCAGTGGCCCAGGGTACAGGCTTAAAAAAAAAAAATCAATTAAGATTTTAAAATTTTATTTATTTAAAAATAACAATATAGCCTTTCGGCCGGAACCGCCATCTTCCAGTAATTTGCCAAAATGACTAACACAAAGGGCGAGAGGAGAGGAACCCGGTATATGTTTTCCAGGCCTTTTAGAAAACATGGGGTTGTTCCTTTGGCTACATACATGCGAATCTACAAAAAGGGTGATATTGTAGACATCAAG